GGTGGTAGGTATAAAAAGGTTGACTACCTCTGACTTAGACTTATATACCGCTTCATAGTGCTTTTACAGCCTTCTCTAAGTGGTTTAAAGAATCAGCGACTTGCCCCCAATAATCTGGGTCCTCATTTTACCCACCTCAGAAGGAGGGAAGGTTGAGTCGACCTGGAACCTGGTGAGATTCGATCTGCTAAACTGCTGGCAGCCAGTGATCAGCAGAAGTAGCCTGCAGTACTGCATTCTAACCACTGTGTCACCACGGCTCTGACCACAATTGGGATTGGAATTTCGGTGTCTAAGTGATGCAGTTATTAAGTGAGTCATCATACTACCAAACCTAAATGTATGACCATTTTTACCATGGTGGTTAAGTGAATGACAAGGTTATTAAGCAAATCTGGCTTCCCCAATAGCAATAGCACTTAGACTTATATACCACTTCACAGTGCTTTACAGCCCGCTCTAAGCGGTCAGAGTCAGCATACTGCCCCCAACAATCTGGGTCCTCATTTTACCCACCTCGGAAGGATGGCAGCTGAGTCAACCTTGAGCCTGGTGAGATTCGATCTGCCAAACTGCTGGCAGCCAGTGATCAGCAGAAGTAGCCTGCAGTACTGCATTCTAACCACTGCGCCACCGGGGCTCTTGTCTTTGCTTGCCAGAAACTGGTTGAAAAGTTCACAGCAGGATGATGTGATTGCAAGACACTGCAACCATCGTAAATTAGACTCAGTTGCCACCTACCCAAGATGTAATTATGTGAATGCAGGGCTAGTGGGAAAGTCATAACTTTGAGACTGTGTTGTAGGTCACTTTTTCCTAGACCGTTGCAACTTTGCATCGTTGTTAAAAATGGTCGTAAATCAAAGACTACCTGTAATCCTCAGATTTTCCTGAGACAGGAGTAATTTCCTAGCGAATCAGCCCTGCTCCCAATTTTTCATTTTGACAGGCAAAAATTAGCCGTGGCAATGGGGTTCTGATGGGAATTATTTCCTCTTCTCTCCAGGCATTCCCATAATTGGAGGACAAGGAGGAGTCAAACCAGCTAAATACGGTATCTCTGCAGAATGAAAAAAAATGCTTGTAATTCATCATGCTAACTCCTCGAAATAGATATAAAGCAATATGTCTATGAAAGGAAGAGAAAATGAACGAGAGAAAAAGAGAATGAGAGGGAGGGACAGAGAGAGAGTACAAAAGAAAGCAAAATCAACTCAGAATGGGAGAAACAACCATTTGGGAATGAGTGGCCCATTTAACTTTGTTTTAGAAGGCCCAGGAGCACAAATGGATGAAAGGACGATGCAAAATAAATGATTTTTTGCTGTTACTCAGAGCAGCAGTCACCAACTGGTAGTCCGTGAGAAAATTTTGGTGGTCCGCAGAAAAATTATTTGCATTTTTTATATTGCACTAAATCAGGAGTCCTCAAACTACGGCCCCTGGGCCGGATACGTGCAATGAATGTTGCTGTAGAGAGTCTCATCCTTTGGAGGATTTTTGTGCGGGACAGAGGAGGGCAGAAATTCTGACTTGGGGTCTGCTTCAGCCTCCTGATGCGGGGCTTTGGGCGAAGGCTGGAGGGAAGTGCTGCTAGTGGAGAAGAACCGGAGGGCCTTGTTCCAGTGGGACTGTATCATGGCCTGGAACTGGCTGACCACCTCAGCTTGCTGAGCCTCCAGGCGCCAGTACCTGGCCTTGCACTCCCGCAGGTCTTCCTTCTGCTTGGAAAGCCTATTCTTGTAGTGCTCAGTGAGATGCTTCTGCTGTGCCTCCTTCTCAGTCAGATCCAATTTGAACTGAGCTGTTTTGCCAACTCTTTCTCATGGTGGCTGCTTAGCTCCAACAACTGCTTCCTATTGGGGCCCTAAGGAGCCCAGGCGGGCAGGGGAGAAGTGGCTGGGATGGGAGGGACGAGTTGAGGCTGGCGAGGCCCCCCTTGACATGAGTGACATCAAGTTGGCCACGCCCATCCAGTCACATGACCACCTAGCCACGCCTGCCCAGCCTGCCATTAGGCACATCATATTAGTGGTCTGCGGGATTTAAAATTATGAATTTAGTGGTCCCTGAGGTCTGAAAGGTTGGGGACTCCTGACTCAGAGCTAAATTAAAGTCACTTTTGGCTTATGCAATTTCTGCATAGGGCTGATCCAAAATGGCACATTATCCACCTGGATATATTCTAGCAGGAGGCTCTCCTGACTCAGGCCCCACTGGAACAAATGGAAGCCACACCAGGGAACCCCTTCTGTTCTTGCACAGCTCTATTTTTTCTTATGTACCTGGAGGCAATTCTCATGACCCAAAAGGCCAAAGGCGTTGCTTTCCCAAATGGTTGCTCTCCAATTTTCTTGTACTGGCTCAGAACAATTATTAGGGCAGAATTTCTCATCTTGGCAACTTTAAGCTCTATGGACTTCAACTCCCAGAATTCCCTGGCCAAGGCTCTTAGAGAATTCTGGGAGTTGAAGTCCACACAGCTTAAAGTTGCCAAGGTTAAGAAAAACTGCATTAGGGAAAGCAAGCTCTGGACAAAACCCCTCCTTGAGTGAAAAAAAATGGGAAAGTGGATGCAGCTGCCATCTGGGAAGCCTGCAGCCTGCAGGAGAGAAAAGAATTACCATGGATATCACCATTGAGACTTATTCCCTGTCTTTGACAGGTGTCCCAGGTACTGGATTGGGTGGAACTGGCGTGGCAGGTAAGATGGTTGTCTAGAATATGGAATTTCTGGAGTTGACCTTATGGCTAAGTCTTTAGCTATAGATGCTGGGCCTGGATTCTCCCTGACCCTGTTTCCTTTTTTCACACTTCAGAATATGCAGAGTTGATTTGATATGTGAAAAAAATGCAATACAGTGATGTTTGGCAGGGTGTGGTGAAGGAAAGCAGTTAGGCCCTGTCATGTAACACCAAAGTTATGTTGCTATGTACTTGAAGAATCCTCTCTAGGCCCAGCTAGCTGTTCGCCACCTAATCTTCATGGCCCAGTCTTATTCCTCAAGCGACATCAAACTCTGTCCTGGAAATCTGCTCCTTAATTGGAGGAACAGATTCCCAGACTAGAGGCGGAGTCAAATGTCCTGCTTTGGTTCTCAAATGCTCATCTTGAGTATTGATTACCTCCCTGGCCTTGACTTCATCAGCTCCCATTGTGATTTCCATTGTACTGTTAAGTTACCTGTTGTTTCTTAGACTGCCCTGTAGCTCTTCTCACATCAGCTAGAATGGATCACCAAATGGGTCCCATACTCGGGGCTGTCAAATTCACGGCCCACGGGCTGGTTTTGTCACGGGCTGGCCAAGTCCATGCCTGGTTTAGCAAAGGGAAGAAAAGTCTTGATACGTCATGTGATGACGCTGTGACGATGCGAGTTTGACACCCCTGCCATAGGTCCTCTTAGAACAGTTGGCCCAGGACTCTGCTATCTAAATTAGGATTACCCAAGGCCAAAAGAGGCGTCTCTTAAGACATGCTACAGGCTGGGTCTTAGGATGTTCAAAACTAGCTCGTTCAGGATTTCTACCGTGTTTCCCCGAAAATAAGACAGGGTCTTGTTTTCTTTTGACACCCCAAAATAAATACTAGGCCTTATTTTCAGGGAGGTCGTATCATTTTTGAGGTGCAGGAGGCTGTGAGTATGGTCACCTCATGGCTGCTGCTATGTTGCAATATTTTCGGGGAGGGTTTATTTTAGCACATACGCTCAAAAGCCCAATTGGGCTTATCATCTGGTGAGGGCTTATTTTCGGGGAAACAGAGTATAAAGTTTCGATAACAATCATTTCACAGCATTAGCTTCTAATGTTATATTGACATACGATCACAATTGAGCCCAAAACTTCTGTTGTTACCGTGTTTCCCCGAAAATACAACCTGTCCTGAAACTAAAGCCTTGCCACATTTTTTTGCGTGGGCAAAAATATAAGCCCACCCCCTGAAAATAACCCCCCTGGACAACTGCCCGCCTCCGACCAGGCAGAGCATAGCAGTATCCTGAAGGCGCCAAGCCGCAGGAGCTGGGGAGGGGGAGAAAGGCACTCACATTGCTTGCTGCCTTTGGAATACCGCTAGGTTGGGGAGTGGCATTCTGCCTCGCCGGAGGGGGGAGTTGCCCAGCTCTCCCTGCAGCAGCCGCTGCCGCACTCTGAGCATAATGTATTCTCCGGTTCAAAACTCCAAAACTCGGCTGCGGAGTCTTCCAGCACGGTTGCTCTAGGAGTGCACTCTATGGTTGTGGGCTGGCTGCTGGAAGACTCTGTAAGAGAGTCTTCCGGACAGAGAGTCTTCCAGCAGCCAGCCCACAACAATACAGTGCATTCCTAGAGCGGCTGCTGCTGGAAGACTTTGCAGCCAAGTTTGGGAGTTTGGAACCGGAGAAGGTTGAGGCTAGGAGGCATGCCTGCTGGGGGCAGAACAGGCGCTCGCGCAATCCCCTTCTCCAGCCCGACAGAGCTCCATGCACTGACCTAGGGGGTATTCCTAATGTGCCAAGCCGCGGGAACTAGGGAGCGGACAGAGCACCACGTGGGTTGGCACCTTAGAGATACCCCCTAGGTCAGTGAATGGCGCTCTGCCCGGCTGGAGAGGGGGTTTGCCGGGTGATTGCTCATGAGCTTGGTCACCTCATGGCTGCTTCGCCCCTAAGGCTGTGCCCGGTTCTTCGGGAGCCAGTTTGCAAGGGAGCAGCCACCCGGCAACCCCAAAACAATAAGCCCTCCCCTATAATAAGCCCAAGGCCATATTTTGTAAGTAAAAAGAAAATAAGACCCTGTCATATTTTCGGGGAAACACGGTAAGTGAGACATTGTTAAATGAGTTTTGTCTCATTTTACAATCTTTCTTGCCAGAGTTTTTAAGGGAATCACTGCCATTGAGAAGTTAGTAACCCAGTTGTTAAGAGAATCTGGCTTCCCCATTGACTTTGCTTGTCAGAAGGTCACAAAAGATGATTAAGTGACTTTGGGACACAGCAATGGTCATAAACAGGAACCAGTTGCCAAGCATCTGAATTTTGATCAAATGATCACGGGGATGCTGCAAAGGCCATAAGTGTGAAAAATGGTCATAAGTCACTTTTTTCAGTGCTGTTGTAACTTTTAACGGTCACTAATGATTGTCGTAAGTTGTGGACTACCTGTCCTGACCCCAGAAAGCCTAACCTGGAACTCTGATATTTTGGACTACCACATTCCCATGTCCTTGTCTTTGTCTCTGCTGGAAGAGATACGTGGGAATTTAAATCCAAATCATCTGAAGGGTCAGCTAAATTTCTGCCTTTTATAATATTAGTAATGTAGCCTCTAGTGGCTTCCTCAACTCATATTAATACTAAAAGATGTACGTTCAGTTCTGGATTAATTCACCAAGACTGAAACTGAGTGTTTGGCAATTCTTAATGTAGCTTAAATTCACCATTTCTTTTACACACACAAAATACCATTGATTCTCTTCAAGATCCTTCCTGGTTAGATTCAAGAGCAACCGGGCCAAAAGACAAATATTCCATATTGCATTTCAACTAGATATAAGGTTTGTTTCTGATGGAGATTTTCTTTGGGGAAAAAAAAACCCCACAGGTGTTGGAGGAGGATACGGAGTCCCTGGACTTGGTGGAGGAGCCGGTTACGGAGCTGGTGGCGGAGCTGGAGGTCTGATCCCTGGTGGGCAAAGATGCTTCGGGGGGGGGGGAGGGGGAGGGCAATTCAGGATGGGAATTATGGCCACATCTGTGTCAGTCGAATCTTTTCAAAACTGGAAATGTGAGGAGCCACCAGTTAAACTTGGTCTGCCATTAATTAATTAATTAACTAATTAATTGGGATTTGTAGAAACACTCTAGATCAGTGTTTCTTAACCTTGACTATTTTAAGATGCGTGGACTTCAACTCCCAGAATTCCCCAGCTAGCATGCCCTATATTCCAAATACTACTATCAATTTTACAGTCATTGTAAGCTTAGATCAATTCTTGACCGATCTTAAACTTTGCTCCTTGTAATGCAAAATAGAAGAATATTAAGTCGGGATGTAGGAAGAAAATCTGAGTGACCATAATGGGAGATAGATAGATGATAGATAGATAGATAGATAGATAGATAGATAGATAGATAGATAGATAGATAGATAGATAGATAGATAGATAGATAGATAGNATAATAAGCCCAAGGCCATATTTTGTAAGTAAAAAGAAAATAAGACCCTGTCATATTTTCGGGGAAACACGGTAAAAAAGTAAAATGAAAAGATTCTGAGAGATACAAAACTACTCTTTAATTAATAAGGATGCAACAGACAGTAACAAATGTTGATGGTTGTTTTAGTATTTTGTTTCTTCCTATTTAGATTAACCTATTTCCAATACTAATAATATAATCAAGTTCCTACCTACAGCAATATTTTGTTAACTCATTCATTGCTTCTTTTGGTGGTGATTTTCTTGGCCTTGTTTATCTGTTTTCTATCTGAATTTCTTTCACAGTCAGAAATCCAAAATTAATTTCGCAGTTGAAATATTGTGAAGCCCTAAAGATATGATGTTTTCCAAAATTTGTGAAAAATAATCTTGATTGGTGGACCTGTGTATTACTCCTCTTATTTACTGCTATTAGCAAGTGTTTATCACTCCCAAAGAGTGGCCTAATTCTATCATTTTCCCAATATACGAAGAAAGGCAATAGATAAAATCCTGTCAAGTATCATCCAATTAATTTATTATTAACAAACTCTTCGCCTAACATCTATATTATAAACTATTATACTGAATGTATTTAGAAAATATTTTGGCTTCTGAACAAATGGGTTTTAAATCCAAGATAGTCTGTCTTGGATCAGTGTTCAATTTTATACATTTAGCTGAAAAATTCTTCAGCCCTATAAAGGACATCATTGATTGGTTAGAGTTTAGCTGCATCTTTCTTTCTTTCTTTCTTTCTTTCTTTCTTTCTTTCTTTCTTTCTTTCTTTCTTTCTTTTTCTTGATTAAACTGAGACTACTGTCTCAGAGTTTGACTAAAAAAATCTTGTGATGGGTATCTCATTCACTTTGATAAGTTTTCCTCATTGCTGAAAAGGCAAATTGATTCTGATCTGTCCTCTAGAAAAGCATTCTTCCTGAGAGAACATACCCTCTCACAAATATTTTTTTTTAATCGTGACTAAAATTAGTGCACTATCTATTATGGAGACTATAGGCTCTCATACAGAAACTAATAATTGAATTTTTTTGTCTGTCTTTTAAATTATGTACTGTGATTGATCTCCGATTACAAATAAATTAATCTTGTTTTATTGGTTATTATTTAGGTAGGGGAACAGTAGAAATGCAAGGGCTGTAGGATAGACAAGAAATTAAATAATGATGATCATCATTGTTACCATCCTGGAATAAGGCAGTATCAAACCATTTTCTTATTGATGCTAGGAAAACTAAATGGTTGCTTTTCACATGTACTCACTAGTAATTCATTTCATCTCATAGGAGACTACTTTAAAGGTTATCATCATATAATAATCTCTATTTGCATTTAATAATATTGGGACCAAAGGGGGAAAATGGACAAAGATGCATCATTATAATTATCTATCATGTAAAATTCCTGAAAATGTATAATCTGAAATGGAATTATTACTTAAAAGAAGATAGAGAAACATGGAATTTAAAAGATAAGGTATACTTTTGCTGTAAATCCAATGTTTAATGTCTAGCTAGAGGGTGGGATCCTTTGTTCAGTTTGAACATTTAAAATAGTAGATGAGATCACCAGTTTCAAATACTGTATATGTACAGCTTCTGTTTAACATGCACATTTGACCCCCAAGTGATGGAGTAAATGAAAGCTGTTATTTAAAGTAATCCAATCAATTCAAAAATATTGAGCTAATAAAGTTATGCATCTTATTGAAAGATTTATGGCAACACATTGAGTTGCTACTGGGTTATTTGTGACAGGCAGATGCACAGTAACTTGATTAGAGGAGGCATTGTGATGACTTGTAACTACAAAAGAGAATAAAGCTTCAAAGCATTGTCATGGTCTATTCTGTAAAATGCATTCAGAAGATGATTTAAGTGTGGTCATTAAACACGAGTTTGCAGCTGCCTATCATCTAGAGGTGATTAAAATTTAAAATGTCAAAATAAAATAAGCAAAACACCCCCACATTATTTAACTTTTCTTCCACAATTCAGACTTGCAGATTCAGAAAGCAGAATTAGCACAATATTATTTTATTAAAAATATAATATTCCTGTGCCTTAAATAAGAAATTGATTTTAACCATGCACATAAAAACACCCTGACATAGTAAAATCATTGTTGCAAATGTAAGATGTGCTTGTTGGTTGTTAGGTGTTTTTCTTCTTTACCGTGTTGGCAATGACACAATACAGCAGCAAATGGACATCACACTAATACATGAGAAAATTCAGGAGAAACACCTACAGTGGCCATGTCCTAGAAGCAGTACCCCACACTGTTGTCTGTGTCACCTTCTACTTTAATAAGATGGCAAGTGCCCGCTTGGAACGCCGAAGTAAATATGGCAACACACAATAGAAGCTGACATGAAAATTGCCCAGTTAGACCTGGATGCCATGTTTGATTGTGCAAAATAACGTTCACCGACCCAAAAACTGAACTCTGCACCTGCGGGACAAACACTAGGAAGATGATGATGACTGTTGCTAGTGCTTTCAGGAATTCTGAAAAGTTCTATAAATCTCCTCCCCTCTCTCTCCCCTTCCTCCCCCCTCTCTCTTTCTTTCTTTCCCTTATATAGAGTTGGATAGAGAGCATCCTATGTCATAGACTTTGCCTTTAGTATTGTGAGCAGATAGTTTTTGGAGTGATATAGCCTGCAATTTATTGAAAATAAACATTTGCTAATATGAAAGACAACATTAAAAAAAATGGATTTGTATGACATGAAGTGAAATTGGGCAACTTCCTTTAGTTCTCTTTTTGTAACCACAAATCAGACTACATTCTGATTCCAGCTGAACAATTGCCAAGAATAATTTGAGATAAGAAAAATATGAATATTTTTAACATAAATCCTAATGGAATCTAAAATATACATAAAATACAATTAAGAAGCATAGAGAGTGTTCTCCAGTGTAGGATGCAGGAGAGTCCAGGCATGAGTTGTTATGTCCTTTTCTGCTCAGAGACTGTCATAATTAAAGCCATGCCTCCACTCTTCTCTTGCCTGACTCCAGTTCTGGCTTAATCTTTACCCAAGAAAGATGTAAAAAATATTTCTTGGGACAATTAACTTTAGTCAAAATTCCTGGACTCTCCAGCATTCCAACGTTCTCTAGGAGCTGCTAGAGCAAGCTCTGGGTATCAGGGCTCCAGCAGCGTCTTTGGCACCACTTGCATCAGTGGTTGGAGCGGCCTGACATATAGGTGAGGATTAGAGCCGCCAATACAGTGGTGGCCAAACTAGACTGTCCCACAGTGAAAAAGAGAGGCAAGGAGGCATTGTTTGAGGCTTGGGGCAGATCTCCAGCTATCGGGATTGCCCAGCCTCGTCAGCTCAGAGTTTCCCAGCCTTGTCAAGCCGGCAGTTTTTTATCTCATGTGAGGGAGCTGTGCAGCCTGTGAAGTGGCGGCCATTTCCCCCTCCTTTGAATTGCGCCAAAATCTTGTGCCAGAGTGAATGGGCTGCCTGGATCATCGATGGTCACCCCCGATGAAAGGATTTGAATACTGCAGATCAACCAGGCTTAATACACCAGCGCAACAAATGGTGAGTAAGGCACCAACAATAACTCCATAACTGTGAGTAACACAGTGAGAGCAGGGAGCTTCAAACAAAATGGCGGACCCTGCTTCAGATGCAGAGGGTGGATCAACTTCAGCCACCTCCAGAGCACAGTCAGCTCACAGGAAGAGGCCCCAAGCTAGCCAGCCCCCTTCTAGGGCTGCTTAAAGGGATGAAAACAGGAGGTATAAAGCTCTGGATAAGCAGATTGCCAGAGCCGAACGATCGAGCGAGAGACATGGGAGCAGGCCTAGTCCATCTCTGGCCTTATAGTCTATATCCCATCCACCGTAGCTACCAGATTTCTCCTTCTGATTCCCCGGTACATCTGGAGGGCTCTCCTAATCGTAGCTCACTATCCCCTTCCCTATCAGCCATGTAAGTGGGGAATGGATCCGGGGATCCCTTTGCCTGCTTAGCATGTGCATCAAGGCCATCAGACCATAGAACCAGACTGGCTCTGTAAGCAACTTTTACCCCAACTGCAGCGCCTGATGAGGATTGAGTGACATTCCTGACAATCTCAGGGCCATTATTCACTGGGCCATTTCTTACAGTATAGCCTTGGGCCTTCAGCAGAGGTGCCCAAATGATGTAGCAGATTTCAAGATTCTGGCAGCCCAAGGTCAAAATCAATTAAACATGGAACTTCAAACATCACGGCCTAACAGGCCCAAGTCAACCTCATTGAGGAGTGAATTGTCTATCATGGAAGAGGAAGCCAAAGGGAACTTCACCTTTTAGAGGACAAGGGCCTCACTCCAAATATTCTGGCCTTCACGGGCCTCTTCCCTCCTGCCTTATTTAGGTCATTGTTATTCAATGCCAGTAGCATGACCAGATTAGGCACAAGGACAGCACAGACTGCAGAAAGGCCTGTCTCAGAGCAGGAGATAT